CACACACACACACACACACCAGCTCTGCCTCAGTCTGCCACAAAGTGAGATTCGGGGCTGTATGAACATGCTATCTGTTATTGTCCCTGTTGTGTCCCCACTCCCCCCCTCCCCCCCCCATACTTTCTCCCTCCTCTTCCCACTTTCCTTGCCTTCCCCTCATTCCATCTCGTCCTCTCACCGTGGATCCTACTAGTCAGCCTCAGCTGCAACTGCCATAAATGAAATGCATGATCCACTCAAAGCAAGCCCTGCCCGACTTCGCAATATGTGGGCGATGGGACTCCATGAACAGAATCCCTGTTCCATTGAGCATTCCTGCAGCACCCACCCTCCATGACTCCCCTCCACTCCCTGCCCAATACCCCTACAACATGGGAGCTGTGCCGACTGCTGCCTGTACTTCCAGCACCCATGATTCTATCCCCCCCCCAGCGCACCCCCCGCTCGCCCCCCCCTTCCCCCCCTATTACATGGAACTTCGTTAACATCTACCTTCAGCATATGACCTACTTGCTCCCCGTCCTCCTCCCCTTCTCTTCCCTCCTCCTCCCCAACCCACCCCCCCACCCATCCCCCTACAACATGGGAGCTGTTTCGATTATGTGTAATGCGCCTAGACTACTTTCGTCATGGAAATAAGCGGAGCACAGCCAACCAGCAGATTACAACACTTAAACCACCCCAGGGGTTCTCAGGCCCCCTCTGTGGACGCTCTGATGCAAATGCATACGGACCCGCGCGGCGAAACCGATTCAGCCACCGCGTTAACGTCCCAAAACTGTGGAGGTACTCCAGCTGCTCAAGCGTTTGACCGATGATGCTCCCAGTCCGTGTCCGTTATGTCGTATTTCCATCTAATACATGGCCATGAAGGCAATGGGCTAGTTACCTAGTACTACGCGTTCAGTCTCTGGTTGGTTGTTGATGAGTGTGCTGCTAAACATTAATCTGATAGTCCCACGTATGCCCACCCTAACGGCTGATAACCTCTAATCCTACAAAAGGGTCTAAGGGACTCTAAACGTCACACAATGTCATCCTGAAAACCCTCTAAACACAACTACAAGGAGGCCTCTAGAGTCTAAACACTACAAGTGTCGCAGCTATAACATGCTCACAACCCAATGGGCAGGAAACCTTTTGCAATCCTAATCGTCAAAGTTGAAGCTCTGAGAGACTGTGAGAGTTCCATTACACACCAACCAAAATCCTCAAAGAAAGTTAAGTTAGAAAATCTCTTCAAAAGATCCATGGACACTCCCCTCCCTCCCCTCCCCTCCCCTTCCCACTTACCCTTCACACGCCCCCTTCCTCCTCCTCCACCCCCCCCCCCCCCCAAAAAAAAACTATCATCAGAAGGCCCTCTACCATCCTTTTTACTTCATCAATTCTGCACCTTTAGAAATGACCCTCGTCACATCATTATCCACCAGTGGGGACCACCACATCCCATCTTGAAGAAGTGCTAGGTGTTCGACACCACGTACTTGGTCGTTGCTCTATCCGACTGAGCTAAGAAAGCAGCTCAGCTAAACAGTCAATGCAGCCGCCACAACATGCACTTCAAGTCCAGCTTCTTTTGAGTGGGGACCACCACTTCATATCGGTCAATCCCAAAAGGCCCATATACACGCCGTCATGGCGGAATTGAAAATGTACGGTAATGGTTTGAATATCATCATCATGCATCATTGCATCATGATGATATTCCAACCGTTGCCGTACCGTTTAATAGTTTGACCCCCCGCATACCCCTTAAGGCTCGTGCATCATGGCCGATTTGTGGTGGGGACCACCACAAACCACCACAAATCTGCCTAGCTGATCTTGCGGCTTCAGGTTGAGTAATACGTAACTATTATGAACCAGTCCACATTGTCCTCCCCGGGGTGATAGTCGAAAGAAGTCTGAGATGCTGGATGTACGTTCACAGCCACAGGGTCAGGCCCAACTGGTGCTATGTTCATGCTGGGAGTCCTGAACCTGGTCATAATCTTTTGTCACATTCGTGTGTTCTTAGCATGAACATATCGCCAGTGGGGCACTCGGAAGCATGCTTGACCGACCGCTGAAAGGGTGTTATGCTCAAACCTCCAGCACAGTGCATAAGTGCTGTTGTTGTTACTACGTTGCATTTGTGGTCTTCTGATGGTCCCGGACCCGCTTCCCATGTTTCTGGCCCCGCGCTTGCCATCCTCAATTGCCGATAAAACTGACCCTCGCATTGTTGAGCAGCACAAAATGCACTTTCAATCTTACACCTTATGGCTCATGCTCACGCTAGGACTTTGCAGAAAGTAGCTGACTAGAATTCTTTGCCAGATTCATTCCAAATAGTCCTAGTGTGAATATGGCCTTAGTGGAAGCCTATGGTCAACATAGTGCATCCTCCAGCAGGCGTCAACGCCCTCCACACCATGCATCTGCGGTTTGGCAATTACAGGAAGGAGATCCACTAGAATACCCTCCAACTAACTTAAAGCCGTATTTGTGAATGAGGGGGGTAACCCGGGTAAGGGCACACTAGAATGTTCCCCCAGCAATGGGATCCATTGGACCACCGATGAAGCTGAGCTGACTGAGAGCACACTGGCATTGCTGTGAGCAGTGTGGACGGAGCATTGCGTAGACACAGAAATAATATCATAAATTCCTGGCCATTGCATTCCGTCGGTGCTCAGAAGCGTTCGACCCTTTGTTTCATCCTCGTTGGCTATTGCCGTCGCTCAGATGATCCTGACCCCATGACTGACCCCATTACTGTGATATGAAGACTGGTGTGATGCTGAAGCAACTGAATCAACAGCTGCAGACTGCTTCCCTCCTCCTTCTCCTTCTCCTCCTCTTCTCTCCTCTTCTCCTCCCGTCCTCCCCTTCTCATCCTCTCCTCCCTCTCCCCAACCTCCACCACAGAGAAGAACCTTCCGCACCGGAAATTGTATCTGGAAAGCTAATGGAGGCTCCCAATCCAAATGATCCAGTGGCACGATCCCGGCCGTTGAATAGATCATTGGCCTTGGCCTCACTCTTTAGCACTGACTGAGAGCAAACTCATCACCACAGCTACAAGGGGTCTGCCGTATACTTAGAGTTAACAGGGATGATGATGGTCCCATATAGTCCCACATTGTCCCAGACGGTCCAAAGTACTCATAGAGGAAGAGGCAACTGAGTCTCATGACCACAACTTGGTGGAATCGCTGGTGTACTTAGCGTGAGTCACAACATGATGATGGCCCCAGCCAGACACCACACTGACCACTGTTGTTGTCCCAGTGCTCGCGGCATACTATGGCCCCAGATTGTCCCAGACGATCGAAAGTAGCAAGAGAGAAAGAGGAAACCGACTCTCATGACCACGACTACGTGGAATCGCCGGTGTACTTAGCGTTAGTTGCATGATGATGGCCCCAGACACCACACTGCCCACTGTTGTCCCAGTACTCGCGACTAAGTAGGCTTCTAACCATCGATTGCACGCCCGCGGCAGTGGCGGGGTTATCTTCCCTCTTCAAGTGGCTTCCAAGCAGAGCCAAGTTATGCCCATACAACCCTGTGGACTCTAGAAGTGCCGCGCTCGGTGCGCTCTTGAGAGCAAGCAGGCTAGGATCCGTCAACGCCGGATGACTATCTGAGTTGCTTGCGCAACATGTGTCGGGTCCGGCGTTAAATAACACACCTTTGAACACTTGACCGCCAATCTTTGTAGAAGCATGATACCCCACTTCTAGCACTCCATCGACAATACCCGTCATTTTGACGCTCTTAAGAAGAGTGTGCGCTGTTATCTCCGATGGTAGCGATGATACCTTATTGCCACCGACACCTGCAGTCATAGCCATCATGTCTGTCAGTCAACCAATCTACGCCGTTAGTCAGACTGAGCTTAATTATTGCAACACTTACTTCACAACCAACAATCAACAACCAACATAGAACCCGTCAAAATTTTATCGAAAGCAATCAAAATCGGCTGCACTTGCCCCCCCCCCCCCAACAAATAAANCCCCCCCCCAACAAATAAACAAATAAATAAATAAATAAATAAATAAATAAATAAATCCCTGCTGCATCCGTCTCTCTGATCTTTTTTTTTTTTTTTACCTTTTTCTTTCTCTCAAAAGGAGTGACTGGTCTCCATCAGATACTGAATCGCAGTTCACCAGCCCTAGTTTTTTTTTTTTGTTTTTTTTTTAAAAGGGCGGCAGTCTTGATCCACCACTACCTTTTCCCATGTGGGCCACCATCGGCCCCCCGAATGACCGAGACGAAACAGATGGCGGCCGACGAGATTTATCAACAGCGGCCGATGAGATTTATCAACGGCGGCCGATGAGATTTATCAACGGCGGCCGTGTTCGGACTCGGCCTCCCATTTTTTAGGAGTGGGATATTTTATTAGTTTCCCATTTGGGCCATTTTCCCAACAGCGGGAAAGGCAGTGGTGCTTTGAGTGAATTATTCCTCTTGTCTTGACTGATAGTTCAAATTTCACTTCTGGTTTCAGTTCTGAATTTCATTCTTGATTTAACTCTTGAGTTCAACCATCACTCCTGTTTTTTGTTGAGCTCCACTGGAATACTGAAATAAGTATTGGTCATCAGAATGATAATTCAATGATTACATCCAAATAAGCACCGGTCTGGCCCTATTTTCGGCCATTCATTTCAACATATGTCCCCCCCTTGAGTACGTGAGGAATTGCTGCATGTATCACAATAAGGCAGAGCAGTAGCGAGTACTAGCCACCCTTTTCTTTTTTCGTTCCCTTTTTTTTATTTTTTTATTTTTTTTTTCAAAAAGTCCAGGGTGTTGTAGAGGCCAGTTACTAGGCTCACATTGATCGCCAGAAGCTGTAAGCCATGATTGCCCTGAAGAGACGGGGCTACTTCTAGCACCTGAGGAGAGGCTCCATCTATTGCTGGGGAGCAGCACCTGCTGGAAAACGGGTCCAGCATGCCCTGTCTCTTATACACATCTAGATGTGTATAAGAGACAGCTATTACTCTGGAATCCAGAGGATTGACTGAGCAGTCCAGCATCCCATCGTACATCAAGCAGGCCTGTCAGCATTGATTACCCATGCAGGGGATTTACTGAGCAGGCAGCCAAATGTGATGAACTTCGCTTGGAGACAACATTGCAGAGACATCTCTTCAGCCCTGGTTCGGCAGCCAGATTAAGCACCTCTTCCTAATGTGGCTGCGCTATCTACTATAAATCCGGTCCTTCCCATACCAGAGACCTTAGCTGACCACAAGAGGGAGTCTTAGAGGAAACAACAAAAAAATATATGAGAAACGGAAGAGGGTGGAAAGAAGAAGAAGAAGCAGACGAAGAAAGATGAAGAAGAGGAGGAAGAGGAAGAGGAGGAAGAAGAAGAAGAAGAAGAAGAAGAAGACAGAAGAGGAAAAAATGGACAGGACACAGGAGCTCTCCCAAATGCGACCTATAGGTCACTTAAAATTATCATGAAGCTCTAACCTTTTTTTTTTTTTTTTTTTAACCGGGCCCAGTGCCCAAGGCTGATATTACCAATAATAAGATTGAGGCCGGGGTCCTCACAGTCTGCCCGGAATGAACCTATGGAAACCGCAAATGATGACCATGATGGTACTTATGACACTGATTAATGATGCTAATGAGAATGATGATTCAAAAATATGAAAAAATAAAGAAGATTATGCTATATCAGCTATTCTGGCCTCCTAATCCTAGAACAACTCCCAGCCCTCCCTATACCCGGACACTGTACCATAAAGACAAAACCACCTAACTAATTGTCAACCATAGCTGATCTCTTCTCGCTTCATTGCAGCGCCCCCTGGTTCACCAGTAGACTGCCTTCCAACCTATCGTACACGATGCGACCCTATTGGTGGGGAGCTGCACCTGTTTTGAAACCGGGTCCAGGACCCCATACAAATACAGTAAGCACTTGCTTTACCGTGGCCATCGCCCGGCTCCGGCTTCAATCTTCTTCTTCTTCTTCTTCTTCTTCTTCTTCTTCTTATTCTTCTTCTTCTTCTTCTTCTTCTTCTTCTTCTTCTTCTTCTTCTTCTTCTTCTTATAAGAAAAACACCAGCTTATGGAGCCAGAGCTATAAGGTTCTGCTTAATAGGAAAAAAAACGAAAACCCAGCTAACACAGCCAGGCAGGATGGGAGCGGTGAGGCGATTAGGTTTAAGTCAACTAGGTCTCTTCGAGTTTGGTCTGCTACGTACCAGTTGACGGGGTTTTGGGTGTACTTTCACGTTCATTTTTTAAACCACCAGTACTTGGGCCGGTTATCAATGTCGAGCCAGGATGCCCGCTTGCCACCAAGTTTCGCCGAACCACCGGGGCGCCGTTTCGTTTTTCTTTTCGCTGGTGCTTCCAAAGTTCCAGGCACTGTGGTCCGGTACCCCGAAGCCCGCAGGTCGTGGCTGGCAGGCTGCGCGTTAACGAGACGCAGCCAAAGATGGGCCATGCACTGGTGGTTTAAGCCGCAAGTCTACGGCCCCAGCCTTGCAGAAAGTTTTTGTCGCCACAAGCAAAACTCGGAGGGGCCGCGCGGCGCGCGGTGTGTGGCGCCGTTGAAAAAAAGAATCGGTGCCCTCTGGAGTGGTGCAGGTTTCATGATGGCACCCCCGGGCGGATGTGTGGCGTACTGGTGCTTTAAGATTCAGCCACCTTGACTATTATCGCTGTCCTGTTTGTGTCTTGCATCTCACTTATCTCTCTCTCTCTCTCATGTGTCGTCAAAGAGTCATGGTGTGATGTTGGTCAGTCAGACTCATGTTTGACTCATTCTCAACAGGTGCGTTGGCTTCCTGTGAGGTGTGACCAACTTGAACCTCCATCCCACCATCTCCAGATGTATGATTTATGCAATCATTGGACAATGGACAGGCCAGCAGGCAATGCTCTAGGCTTTAGGGTTTCTCTAGCCGGTTGTGACGTCCTCGGAGTCCCACAGTATCATTGGCACTGTTCCTCGCTGTGACCAACTTGAAGCTCCATCCTTATTAATAATAATAATAATAATAATAATAATAATAATAATTATTATTATTATTATTATTATTAGTATATTATTATTATAATAATAATAATTATTAGGGTCACACTGAAGTATGCCCGGCAGCGAAATCGGAACGCAGTCCCACTCAAGTACATCGGCAACAAAATCCAAATGCATGCAAGCTTGCTTTGCCTAGTGGGATCATACGTCTTGCTTTGAGTGCAGCAGGTCGGGGGTTCGAACTTCAACGATCCCTGAATATAATGACTTCGTTTGATTTGCGCAAAGCTTGGACTCCTTGGAGTGCTTGAAACAGCAACAGTAGTATTTTTTATTTTTTATTTTTCTTCCTTAAAGTTCTTTTCTTCTGAGCTCTCTTATCTTCCAAGTGGAAAACTGCAATGTGACGATGGATCATGTTTTGAAAGGGACGCCGGACCCGGTTGCGACCAGGTGATGATGGCCAGCAATAGATGGAGAGTGGTTAAAAAAAAAAAAAGAAGGAATGAAATAAAATGAAATGAAATGAATAGGGAGTTGTTTGAGAGTTTAAAACGCACCTGGCGCTGGACCTAGTGCCAGCAGGCTGGGACGTCCCTGAGAAGAAGTGAGAATGGTAGATGACGAACACGTCGGGAGGGACGAAGAACTGGAGCGATTGACCTTCTCCAAGGAGGCGAGAAGATGATCAGGGCTGTTGGTATGGTTGATGGCTTCCGCTCGCTGCTTTTCTCGGCGCTTTGCAGCGGGAACCCATGTGCTCTTGACATGAGTTGGGCATACAAACCCTCGACTCTTGCAACACGTACGGCAGCGGTTGTAGTTGCAGTCTCGCTTCGCTCGGTTCCCACACTCCTGGCACGCCATGGGAGTTGGTTGGTCCTCTCTAAGACTTGCCGTTGTTCCGCCTGAGCCAGCGGGCACCACCTTCAGCTGGGACGGTGGCTGCTCCATAGCCGTGCCGTTCTCAGTAAGGAAGTCGCTGATGAGTAAAGACGCAGCAGCAGCAGCAGCAGCAGCAGAAGAAGAAGAAGAAGAAGACCAACAACAACAACAACAACACCAACAACAAATGGAGAAGTAGTAGAAGTGGGAGGAGTACAAGTGGCAGAGGCAGAAAGAGAAGGAGAAGGAGAAGGAAGGAAGGAAGGAAGGAAGGAAGGAAGGAAGGAAGGAAGGAAGAGGACAGGAGAAGAAGAGGAGCACAAGAAGAACCAAGTCCTGCAATTGTTAGTGGAAAGACCCCATTGCAAGAGCAAGGCTTAGCTCTGCTTCATCACGATAGAGAACTTGAAGATGCTAAGTCCGTCAGGGTGATCTCAGACTGATTGCATTATGGTGATCATGTCTCTCTACCATGTACATTTACGGTCATCATCAAGTTGCAAATCAGGTTCCCTTGAATCACAGACCTGCTTCAAAAAAGCACCTTGGCACCTTGCGGTTGCCACAAACACATGCAGGAAAAAAAAAAAAAGGGAAAAAAAAAGGTAGTATTCAGGGCCAAAGAAAGCTGCATAGCTTATGAGAATAATAATGAGGTTTTGGATACACAAAGTGTTGAAGTTCACAAAAGTTTTGAAATGATTATTTAAAGTTTTAAAACCTCATTATTTAAAGTTTTAATTTTTGAACTAGGCTACCAGCCGGACCTACCGGGTCCCGGGTGGGCAGCCCGTGCAAGGACCAGAGGTCCCAGCAAAAAAGAAAAAAAAGAACAAAAAACTCGAAAAAATCCGGAAGTGGCCCGTACGCTCCCTAAAATCGTGGCTTGTTAACGGGCATGACTTAACCGCCAGTACTTGGCCCAACTATCGGCCGCGGAAAAAAATAGAGTAGAAACGTTTCTAGTTGGATGAATTTGGGCGCTCCTGTAGTGGCCCGTACGTTTCCTAAAATCGCATAGCATTAACGGGCACGACTTTAGGAAGTACTGGTGGTTTAAGTGCATGTACCTACGTTGCCAGAGTGGTCTGGGACCACTTGCCCGGCGGGGCCAAAACTTCAAAAAACAAAAAAAAAAGGATTAAAAAATCCCCCTTCTGCTCTATGTCTAGTCTCAAGGGCTTGGTTTGGGTATGAATGAAGTTGAAAGGTAGATGGAGATGGTATCAATGATTTCTCATGGTTTTAGGACTAATAGATGAGAAGGCAGTCGTGCTAGAAGGACATTGTTAGATATGGCGCCCTACTGGGGTGAAGAGGCACAACTCATCTCAACTTTATGATTCAGGCACACCATTCTTTTGTATCATTCATGTACTTATGGGACGCTGGACCCAGTTTCCAGCAGGTGTTGCTCCCCACCAATAGATGGAGCCTTTGTGATTCAAAAGAAAATATATATATATTTTTTATTTCGCAAAGAATTTCGGTCCCACCCTGAGGCAACTCGGGTCTTCATTTCAACAAAAAGCGGTGCGCTAACGCAGCGGTAATGCAGCGTTAGCGCACCGCTCCTAACAGTGCGTAGGCAACGAGGGATCGCATAGGCGCAACCGCGAGTGTGGGGGCGCTGGGCCAGAGCTTGTTGTGAGGGTGGCGGGAGCGGAGGAGGATAGGGTGCAAGGGCACAGGGGGGCCGCTTCAGGGAGGTGATACCAAGCCTCTGCCATACCTCGTCCTGGCTGACCTTGGTCGGTAATCCTGGAGGATCACGGTATGGATAGGTGGAGGTCGAAGGGCGGGATCTGCGCGCTGTTGCATACCATAATTGCAACCTGATCAGGGGGTTGCTCATTCCCCTGGTTACAGATATGGAAAACTATGATTGTATCATTGGAGTGCTTACGTGCCGGAGCTAAAACGTCGACATTCGGGAGAAAGAATGGACACTAGCTGCAAGCGGTGATGTTAGTCAGAATTTCGAGACCTTCAGTGTTTTGACAGTTAATTGAGTGTGCCTCTCTGATTGCAATCCTCACGCTGTGTTTTGTGAGTGTAGAATAGCTGTTTGGTGGCTTTGCTGATTGGGTATATAGGGTTATCGTCTCTGCCTTCGTTTTGTAGTTCGTGCTTTTGGGGTGCTGTCGCTTAGATAAAGCCACTACGTTCACGCTGCCGTTGCTTTTATGTCGCGAATTTGGGGTATCGTCATTTGCGAAACGTTATCGTGGTTGGTGTTGCGTGTCGTGTGTTGCTTCTGCGTGTTTGCCGCGATAATCGTTGGAGAGAGAGAGAGAGAGAGAGAGAGAGAGAGAGAGAGAGAGAGAGAGAGAGAGAGAGAGAGAGATCGCAAAATTCTTTGTGAAACTTTTTCTTTAGTGGTTCTCTACGTGGTTAGGATTTTGCTTTGGTTAGGTGCATACATGGTTGGGGTTTGGTTGGACACATATATGATTGGGGTTTGAACTTTGTTGACTGTGTGTTAAATGATAGTTAGTTTAGAGACCTGGATGATTGTTTAGGCTATAGAGTTTTGAATATAGCGTAGGATTTTTGCTGGGTTTGTATTAATGCTAGTTAGTTCTATTCCGGCTCCCTCTCTAATTAGTGTATCTAGGGTTTCGGACCTTTGGTAGGTTTTTCTTTTCTTAGGATTGCTGGGCTGTTTCAAATACCGTGGCTCGGGCTTTGCTTGGCCGGAGAGCCTTGCTCAGCTCGATAGCTG